AGCGAATAAATAAAAAGTACCTTAACATAATACAAGCATTTTGAACAATTATAACAATTCCAAAGTAAAATCGATCCACTTTTGTATCATCTAATGTGTATTTAAAAACAAATACGGCCTAATAAAAAAGGTAGGAAGTCAATAAAAATGGTCGAATGTTAACCGTTAGCGTTAGGGTATAGTGATAAAATATTGTGACGAATTATCATACATGTAAGCAAAATATATTAACAATCTTGTTTGGCCCAGTCTGGTCTGGTATTTTTAGGTAATTTAAACATGATTCAGACTATTCCGGTCTTAAGACTGAGTAAAGACCAGTCTTAAGACTATTGTGGATCATCGGGTTTAGACCAAATTGCCTAGCACCCTACCGCTACTATTAATGCTACTGTTAATGTAATAACGAGAAAAATAAACTAACCACAGAACCACATAAGCCACAGGCTAGTATAGTAAAGCCTAAAAATAAGAACAGACGAGCCTTCCAAAGCACCTTGGTTGAATGAAGATAAACACCATCATTGAGGATTGATCTATCTACTGAGCCAGCACTATAATAATCGAAAATACATATTAGGAATTACGGATTGGAAATGGTTAGAAGGAAAATAAATCAAGAAGAAAGAAAGATACATGATCATTCCGATAGTTGATAAAATGCCACAAATATAGTCTTCAACAGAAATAGAAGAGAGGATACTATCTTTATCGTTATCAATAGTCATATAAATTAAGGCATCTATAAATCCCCACCATCCTATTCCAAACAAGATGCCAGCCACATATAAAGCAATGCTTCTATTATTAAGTCTGAAGCATACTCTTCTATCACCGAAATCGTTGATAGGCCATCGTGAAAGAACAGGCGGAGAAGTTGACGGCGATCTGGTAGTAAAAAGGCTATGAACCATGACTAATTTTCATTAATGAATCCGAAAGTTTAGCAGTCTCTCCTTCCACACACAACACTTTATTGTCAAATACGAAGAGTTCACCTCTTCTATAATGTAAGGTAACAGTAAATTTGATAATGAAGATGAGATCAACTCTTTAGAAAAAATCAAGCCTTTTTTTTTTTTTTTAAGAAAAAATTTTTAGCCGATTGATAAAAATAGACATAGATGGTAATAAAAGTCCGTGCCAGTCCGAATTTTAAATTACATTCTTTTAATTTAAATACTTTTTTTATTTATGGTTAATTTTGAGTTTATCATGTGATAATCGTGTTTAGATGTGATGTCTTGGGATCTATCCACCCAATATTGTTAAGCTATATTGTATCTGGAATCTACGTAGTATGTACATAACGATAACAGATAAGTACACGTAAAGAAGCTTTTAAAGATTTCTATAAAGATGATATAATAATTCAAAATATTACAATATTATTAATATATAGATAAATAAAAACGCCTTAAAACGCCGACCTACATAATTGCATGCATCTGACTATTTAGAGAAATTCTCGGACTTGGATACTTATTTGTGTAATTAGTTTTGAAATTTACCCAAAAATTTACCCTGAAATTAGTTCACACTTGATCTC